GTTCGGGGCGCTGCACTTCAAGAGGGATGTGGACAACATGGAGAGGGTCCAGAGGAGGACCACCCGCATGATCAGGGAGCAGCAGGGCAGGCCCTACGAGGAGAGGCTACGGGACCTGAAACTGTTCAGCCTCCACAAGAGAAGGCTGAGGGGGAATCTAGTGGCCGTTTACAAACTAGTCAGAGGGGACCAGCAGGCATTGGGGGAGTCCCTGTTCTCCTGAGCACCGCCAGTGACTAGGAATAATGGTCACAAGTGGCAGTGGGTAAATTCAGATTAGACATCAGGAGGCACTACTTCACTGTCAGGGCAGCTAGGATCTGGAACCAACTTCCAAGAGAAGTGGTGCTGGCTCCTACCCTGGGGGTCTTTAAGAGGAGGCTGGATGTACACCTTGCTGGGGTCGTTTGACCCCAGTACTCTTTCCTGCCCTTGCAGGGGGGGTGGACTTGATGATCTGCTCAGGTCCCTTCCGACCCTACCTACTACGAAACTATGAAACAATTTCAATTTTACAGTGGTGTACCTGAGACCTGATTCTACCCCGAACACAAGTATGTAAACCTTACAGATCCACAGGACAGTAACAGTGCAGATTTCCATGTTCTTTTCAGGCTTTCTGTTGTATCACGTTGACATTCAGAGCTTAGAATGCAATGGTTAAGAAGGCAGAGAGATGAGGTTTGTAAAGTGCTACCCTTTCGTGAACAAATAAAATATCTGTTTTACAGAAAGTATCCTATATGTCTGAACCCAGCTCCGCACACTGCTTGTCTGATATGTGATTTGCTAATGATTCTATGATGTCAAGAAGGAGCGGCTGACTGAGGAACCGGAGATTTGGCAACTTGGAGACCTTCAAAAGAAAAGAAAAACAAAAACACACAAACAAGAAATAAAAAAATTAAAAAATAGTTTAAATAACACTGTTAATCCCTACCATCCCAGAGAAGAAACACAGGTTAATTACATCTACTGATGTTCTACTGTGTGCATGCTATGGACTAGTAAAATCACAGTCACAAAACTAAGGCATGAAGCTACATGAATATAACCAAAGCTGCTCTGTCCATATGCCCACTAAAACACTGTCTAGTTGTCTTCTGGTTTCAGACTACCCTTTATTATAGGACAGGGCTAAAGATGCGACAGGAAGTCTGATCATATCATTTGTTTTAGAGGACAGTAAGAGTGTAGACGTGCCCAGTGAGAATTAATATTCAAAAGGAGAATTATGCATAATTATTATGCTCCTTGCAAACTGGACACTGACTAACACACAAATTTGGCTTATATGAGTTTTGAAATTCAAACCCTTCGTGTTCCTGCAGCCATTTGGATTCTTCTCAACTGACTCGTAGATTATTGCGGGGGTCCTGAGCTATCTGCTGCTTTGTTCTTGTGGACGCATGAGAAGTTATTCGAAGCACTGCTGTGTGTAATGCACATATTTTTATTTGTACTTTTCCACCAGTTAAAGCAGGGGTGGGCTATGATTTTGGTTGGAGGCCCACTTAAGGAGTTTTGGTGAGCTCTTGAGGGCCAGAAATTGGGTGGGGTGGCGGTGCTGACCCAGCCTCAGCCCCATCATAGCTGTTTATACACCACCCAGCATGTGGCGGGGTGGGAGGGGGGTAGCCCAGGGAGATACAAATTTATCCTATCCGTTCCTGGGCCCATCCATGCCATACCAGCTGCTGGGGGTGTCAGATGGAGTAGGCAGTGTCTCCAAGGAGACTGGCCCAGGACCAGCACAGACAGGGTGCACTGGGCTAGGCAGATGAGATGGGGGCACGGGTGGGTGGGGAGTGGCATCCGTGAGTGGGAGAGGAGAGCAGGGCTGAGATCACGGGACGGTGACCACATGGGTCAGAGATCACAGGATGGTGACAGCATGGGCCAGAGCCTGCAATGGGTGCCAGTCCACAGGAAGCCACAAAGCAGGGAACCAGCACCTGTTGCAGGGACAAGCAGGGAGCAGATTGCAGCTCTGCCCTAGGCCCTGGCTCTGCACTGTCACTGCCCTGCAATCCCAGTCCATCTGTCCCACCCCAGTCACCGCTGCCTGCCCATGCCCATGCCCCCATCCCATCCACCCTGCTGAACGCTCCCTGCCCAGCCTCCATGGCGACCCCACCTGCCTGCTCCATCCAGCACCCCCAGTGGTGGATGTGAGACGATCAAGCCTGGAGTGTCCAGGCAGTGAGGCATGTACCTGCTCCTAGGCAGCAGAGGCAGGGATTGCCAGGAAGCCAAGTCTGGCCACCTCACCGCCCCTGCCTGGCCCCATGGATTACAGCTCCCAATGTATCCGCGAGCCACGCACAGGAATAGGGCAGGCTATGCCAGGCAGCACCTCCACACCCAGGGGCGGCAGAACCAGCCATGTGCACCACAGCCTCGAATGCCCCTTGCACCTGGGCCTGGCAGGGCTGAGACACCAGCTCCAGGCCAGATGGACTCACTTGGTAGGCTGTATCTAGCCGTATTCTGCCCACCCTGATCCTTTATAAGCAATCCATTTTGTGAATCCAAGAACAGCAAAATGAAACAGTTGAGTTAAGCTACTTTTGGAAAGAACTCAATGCACATAGAGTATTATGCAGGGGCAAGGGAGAGACAGTACCTCTTAGCTGTAGAGGAAATAGTGCACCTGCACTGAGGAACAGATATTGCACTGAAGGGCAGGTACACAAAGACAGAGGCCCATGTCAGAGCACAAGCCAGCACTTCAGAAACTGTGGTTTTATTAGGCATTTATATAATACCAATATACATTGAGATTAACATACATCTCTGCCCAAGCTATTCCAACTATACAATCAACTCTCCAATTAATATCGTCTCTTTTTCCCACAGGGAAATTAAAAACAATTCTGAATAGGAATTCCAATGCTCCTCAGTTAATGGAAGGAGACTGCAATGACCAAACATACACAGGTTTAATCAATCTGTGAAACAAAATTTCATACCAAAACATCTCAGACAAAGCACAAACATTAACAAATTTGGATTTCCTGCAGTCTTTCAGTGACAGTTTCAAAGCATCCAAGGACTAGACAGGTTTCAATGTACAAAACCAGATTTATTTCTTTTTTTTAATGTTTGGCAAGGATGAAAGAAATTTAACAAAACCCAATTCAAATTTGAAAAGTTGCAATATTATTTTCATGGCCAACCTCCAATACTGTGTACAGTGCTTGTTTCTAATTGCTTCTTACTCATGAAGTCTCCCAAAAAGACACTAAAGGGATGACGATGCATGAAGACAAAACATTTTGCACACGAGCCAAGTGGGCCAAGGACTCCATGACCACCATGGATTATTTGCATTATCTCATTCTGAATGATAAGGAATCCTGTATTAGCCTGGTTAATTCTATCACAGCTTTTAACCAGCCAGATTCCTAAGTATTGTTGTGCAATTTTTAGAGATGATATACATGAAACATTACTAGCATGCAGTAATCCATAGTGTTATTATTTTTAGTCTTTTGTGCACATGGGCCAGAATTCCATCTCGTCTTGTGTGGCTAAGGCCCCTGGTACACGTTACAGACATAGCAACTTGCCACACATTTCAAGCAAACCAGCCACAAAAATATTCCACAAAATACGTGTAACATCTTTGTGACTGGTTTGTACGGGCTCCATAAACTGAATGTGTGGCATGTCCCATAATCTTAACACCAACAAGCAGCTGATTGTAAACTTCAGAATCTAGGCAGCCCCTGATCTAGCTGAGGGCTGCCCCAGGCTTGATGTTGGCAATCACTGATTGTCACCAACCGGATGTGCCCTCATCAGGAGGCATATTTGCTGCCTTACCAGAAGAACCCACAAGGCAAGGCAGTAAATTTCAGCACCTGATTGCTACCACCAGCTCTGTGTCTAGAACTGGACCTGGGGCTGATGCCAACAATGACCGTCAGCCATGGCACCAGAGTGTGCCAGATCCTAGGGCTGCTCCCAGTCCTGATGTTCAGCTGAGTGTCAAGATCAGGCATGGGGTAGACTCAGAGTCCAAGACAAAATCATCACATGCACGATCCAAAGGATCAGGTTGGAGATAGCTCCATAGTGACTTGACTGGGACTGAAGGACTTTTATGCCCTATCCCAAACATTACACATCTTGTCATGGCTGTGTGAGACTGTGTGTGTATACTGACCACGTGGAACTGAGCACTTGCCATAATATTAATGTGCAAGTCCCAGGAAAAAAAAGTGCTGGAGGAGGGCCCCCTCATGTTTTAGCCTCAGTAGCTGAAGTTAGGGCACTCACCCAGGAAGCTGGATACCTGGGATATAGGTCTACCTTTCCTGCAGCTCTCCGGTTACTTAGCACAGTGCTTTAACCATCCTCAACCCACATGCACGCATGTGCATACAAACATACACATACATAAAAGGTCAGACAATATCTAATGGTGTCTCCAGCCCTCCTGACAAGGCTGAGCCACTGTCCCTCTCATTTCAGTCACTAGATGAAATGGATGGAGGACAGGACAGTGGAGAAACTTGGGCATGGTTCCAGGCTTTAGGCTTGCAGTGTAGAAGCTAACTGGCATGTGACACATACCAGTTAATTTGCGCTCTTCCTCCTGGCCCTATATACCTTCCTTTCTTGCCTGTCCACGGTGCTAGCTTCAAAAGGAGCACCAGAAGGGTATCTGGATAATGCTTAATTTGTGGTGTGGTGCTTAAAACACTATACTGGTAGCAACATGCAAACAAATGTTTTTCATAAGCTCCCAAAACTGTGCACATGATCTGTTAAATAACAGAAAAAATCTTGGGAACAGGGACCACAGCCCAGGTTTTACATGGCGTAATACCTACATGGATTCCTGGAAGAATGATTTGGTTCTGGCCCTGGTCCTAACTTTGATAACCACAATGTTTTGTTACAGGCATCTTGTAGTGAATGGCTATGATTTTGCAGTCTTGTGTTACACAATTGCTACCAATGTGGGCTTTGCACACAGAAGTTCCAGTATCTTAAGATTTATCCATGAAGCTTCATGAGGCTAACTATATTGCACCTGTAACCAACAGGCAATGTGTTGGGAAATTCTATCTTTATCAGTCAGGGACCATGTATCTTATTACTCAAAGCTAAATGACAATACCAAAATTATTCTCAATCAAGGGCACAAGTATCATATTTTTGGCATAATGTATCACTATTTAATACAATATTCCATATTTATATTTCACATATAGTTTGCAGAACACTTGACCTGAACATGATATGCCTTATTAATGCAGTAATGATGTTGCATCTATTACAGGAACCTTCTTCAAAAGCAAGTTTAGTATCATATTTATAAATGGCAGGGAGAAAGAGGAACTAGGACGTTCAGTGCACATCAAACATATTTTGTTAAACATGTCAGACTTTAGCACTGGCATGGCATGGAAGAGTTACTAGCTAAGAAGCATGAGGAAATGGAGATGGTTCTTAATAACTACTCTTGTTGGGAGGTCTTCAAGTCTCCAAAAAGCGGTTGTTTTAGATTTAAAAAAATGAAGAGAAAGAAAAAGGTAGCGCCATAATCCTGTTGGTAATATGTCATAATATCGTTTTGCCATAATCCTGTTGGCAATATGTCAGATCATAAACATAGTAAGTTGTCCCAGGGAAGAACCAGTACAAAACAGAGGCCCATATTAATCTGCTTTAACCCATGGTAGAGAGAGGACAGCAGATCCCCAGAACCCCAGAAAAGAGCCAACCAACCTTGGTGAACTGATGAACAATGATGTGCAAGCAGTGTCTCTTCATGTCCAGAGCTTGGGTCTTGTCAGCTGCCTCTAAAATCTAGAACAGAAACATATTAAGACTCTAATCCTCTTTCTGCTTTGTTCAGGTAAATGCAGAGGCAAAAAAGAATGCTATTACTATGCAGAAAGGGTAATTTCCCTGCACTTATAATTGCAGCCAGCTTTCTACTCCGGCCCCAATTTGGTACCTTTTTCAAATTTCTCTAAAATCAATGTTATATTTTAAATACTGCATGTGGTTTTCGTCAGTAGATAATTTTTGTGAGATTTAAGCTAGCCATTAGGGCCAATGTATGTTCAGTGTCACAATGAGATGGATGCAAAAATCCTGTTCAGGGAACAATTCCCACAAGAAGTGGCTAGGCTGACTTTATACCAGCTGAGGATTTCCCCAACCGAAAGGATTCTTGGATGGCCACATTTTTCTCCTTTTAAACCACTTAAGCAGCACAAATGAACTGGAAAAGGTCCATGATCTTTAGGAAAAAAGCAGCTTGCTAACTGGTAACTATGGTTTGAGACTCATGTCTGTGCATTCACAACTGTGGGTCTGATATCCCATCGATGACCTGATGGAACCTCCAGGGAACCCAAGTCCGCAGGGACTGCATGAGCATCCCCTATTAACACTGACATTCAGCCTCCAAGCTTGTATCCCGAGGAAGAACGTCTTGTCTTGCATTCAAAAGCCTGTCTTATTCTATCCCAACTACATAGTTAGCCTAATAAAAGAGATTATCCTAAAAAAAAATCCTTGCCTCTTGTAAAATTTCTCAACCATCACAACATCACTCTTACACTACCAAACTGTGCGCACTCTTTTATACAAATTCAGGCTTAATTTCCAGCCACACACACCAAAAACCCCCAAGAATATCCTTTTTTCCTTTTTTTTACCCTAACAGACAAATATACCTAGAATTATTAACTTAGGTTTAGTAAAATATTTTGTCTGGAAATTTAACCAAATTGCAGACACTATTGAGTAGAGCTGAAGCACCATTTGAATTTCTTGAATATTTACTGTGTTTCCAATGGTCGCACTAAATTTAGTGAGTGCTAATTACCTGGAGCACATTTTCCGCTGTAACATTCATTTCCAAATTCTGCTTACAGTATGCTTGAAGTCTGTTGTTGAAGAAGCCATAATAATAAGGTGCCGCAAAGAGGTAGCTGTAAAGCTAGTCAAAGAAAATAAATGTTGTGTTCCAAATTGCCAATGACAACAACATAATAGCCATACAAATGCTACAGGGGAAACGATGAATATGATAGTATAGTATTATAGGGCTGGGATGAACAGAGGCTTCTTGAAGACTACATGCATGTAAAATGGAAACCTGCAGGAAACACTGGATTTCCCCTTATCAATATAAATATATGGTAATTCCCTTATGAGAGGGCAGGGAACGAAGCAATGGGTTTAAACTGTAGAAAAGCAGATTTAGATTGAATCTCAGAAATGACTTCCTAAAGTATAAGACCAGTAGGGGTGCTCAGGGAAGATATGGAATCTGCCTCACTGAAAATTTTCAAAAAGATGCTGGACAAACGTGTGTCTGGAATGGTTTAGGCATAACGCATCCTGCATTCATACAGGAGATTGGACTAGGTGACCCTTGAGATCCCTTCCAACCCAACTGTTCTATCCAAAGTCCTGCATTTTCTTTATCTTCTGTTCAATCTGTACTAAGAGTAGGGCAAGCTAGGCAAAATTTCACATATATTTTTCACAACGGTGGCTCTTTTTTTTGTTTATGAATGAACACCTTGATTTGTATTAATGGGTTCATTAGTCTCAACTGCCAATATATGAGTTCTTATGTTTTCAGGAAGTATTTGTATGGGTACTGTGTGAGCCTGGATATTTAGGCAATGTTGTTCTTTCCCCTCAGTCTCACCAATTCTGTCCAGATCTGCCTGTCCCCATAACCCACACAATGCTCCAGACTGGTGAGGGTACCGAGACAGGGAACAAGGTGTGGACACTTGCTATGTTGTATATATCTACGTATTTCTAGGGCTGACTAAAGTTAAGACTGACTGGTTTCTGAAATCCTTACAAACCATGTATCTGCTTCAAGTATCACATATTCCTCAAAAGGCAACCTATAAACCCAGAAGGCTGGAGCTGTGGGGAAAGGGGTGCTTTAAGCTACTGGGGTACCTAATGGCTCAATGCTGGTCCTGGTACCTATGGTAGCAGGGCTATAGTGCACCACTCTGTAGCAGAAAAACCCTAATTTGAGGACATGCACCAGAGAGGCTGGGACCAGAAAAAGCGGCTGGAGCCTGCTGAGTTCCAGTCTTGAATCCACTATGTGGGGACCCAAACCAGGTGAGTATCTAACAAAAGGAGCTTTATCAGGGCGTTGATATTTTTTTTTCTCTCACATCACACTATAAACGCCATCTAAGTTGGTATCCTCACCAACACTAGCTTCTAAGCATTTCACTTCCTTGAATGTCTTCAGAGCAGCACATGAGGGAACCCACTCCATGCATACAGGATCAGCAAGGTTGCTGGCTCCCACAGCAGAGGAAATAGAGGAAGGTTCCCAGATACTTCTTCCTGCAAACAGGCTCCTACTCCTATAAGAAACTTTCCCATGCTTACGTTTATTTGCTCTCTTCTGTTTCTGCGGCTGCTGCTTCTCTTCTGCTATAGTAACAGCAAGCTCCTTTCTGAGCAAGTACGCTGAAGCTAGCACTGCTATGCTGCATATGAGAACCCCAGTCATCCCCAGAGTTTCTGTGAGCTGAAGCCGTCCAGAAGGAGACCTGGTCAGCAGCACAAGCAATGCAATATCTCGGAAGGAAAATCCTTCACAGGAAATAGGAATGCGATGTCTTTGCCTTGCCTCATCCTCTTGCAGAGTCTCAAGGCAAGGGGGAATGAGAGAGGTATTCTGTATTATGAAAAGTTCCCTCCCTGCCCAAAAACCCCCAGAAAAAAACAAGGGATGTAGAAACAGGAGAAAGTCAGGAAAAAAAAGATGCAGAAAAAGAGACTGAAACTTAGACTCTCCATGCAAGGAAAAAAAGGTGATTATAAGGACAAGCGAGATGCTAGATAGCATCCAGCAGATTCCATCACTGCAGGATGTCCTACCCTACCAGCACTTCCTCCACTAGTGGCTATGCCCCAACTCAAAGTTAATGAGACTCATAGTGCTTTATGGAAACCAAGGCAGTGAGTTCCAGCAGGCAAACCACTAGGCTAAAGGCATGAAGATATGAGTGGAGGGGGACTGGATTCATTGCAGCTGAAAAACAACTTACATCTGAATGAGGTGGGGATAGGGACAGAGACAAACAGATGAAACAGCTATACCAAATCAACTATTACACACTCCTGACCCTTAAGTCAACCCCTTTAAAACCATGTGACTGTACATGCCCTGAGACAAAAGAGATCCTATTCTCACCTGAGGGAGGTAGTTAGCAGTGTTAGTCTGAAGTCAGGCAAAGGGCAGGGTAGAAATGCACTTTGTAGGCTCGCTGAATCAGAGATACAGGGCGCGTCTACACGAGACGCTGGAAGTGCATTAGACTAATTCTACCATGTGTTAGTGCATCACAGCAAAAGATGTGCTATTGTGCAGTAGAATTAGTCTACTGCGCATTAGCATTATGTAAAAGATGTGCACTGGCGCTACTGCACAGTAGCGCCAATTATGGCGCATTAAGTTACTAAAGGTACTAAACTTTACAGTACTAAACGTAATACGCTGTAATTATAGTGCATTAATGCATATGTAGACGTGCCTACATAAGCTTTTTGATTAAGTGAGCTCAGGTTCACAAAAGCTTATGCATCTGATTCAGTGAGTCTATAAGGTGCATCTTTACCTGCCTTCTGCCTGTTCTCAGCTTACTAACTTACTGTGTGACACTGGGCAAGTCACTGCTACTCCTCCTGATGTCTCTGTTTCCCTTTTTACCATCCTGTTTATTGAGATTTCAAACTTTAGGGCAAGGACTAATTGCACACTGGAATAACAACACTCAGTTGGGCCTCCAAGATATGCTTGTACAGGTTTCCCTCACCAACCATAGGGAATAGGTTTTCCTGAAAGCTCCCATGGTTGGCAAAACTGTAGTTGGCAAAACTGGCAGGGCTGGGGGAGCAGGGGCTGGGGGGCACCAGCAAAGCTGCAGGGGGAGGGATGGGGGGGAAGTGCAAAGTACGAGCAGGGCCGGGGTGGGGGCGCATTTTCCGACTGTACCCCCGCCTTCTCTGAAGCATGGATACTCAAAACCATGGTTGGCAAAACCGTGATTGGTGATGGAAACCTGTAAAACAAATCAGTAATGCTAATTCCATTGCCTGGGACAGTAAAAACTGCTGGATAACGAAGCACAATTTTTGCAGACTTGGCTGCCTAGAGGCAGACTTCTACATAAGATATCTGACATACAAATATGTTCCTGAGGAACTTTTAGAAATTGCCTGGCAGAGGTGAAACAACTGCCAAGCGCTTGTGGATTTATAAGCACTCACATTTGAAAACTGTAGCTCCAAATTTTGTTTCGGATTTGCAATATATTGGTTGCCTATCGGGTCAGCACCGATAAAAGGGAAATTGATATTATTGGCTACTGGCTTTTTATTGGCCATTGTAGCCGATAATGTTCTCCAATAATTATGCCTTCTGTCTGGGGCCCCCAGATGCCTGGGTTCCCTTCCGTGAGCCAGGGTGACCCCATCCCCTCTCTGGAGGGCTGGGCTGTAGGGAACAGCTGCCGTGGTACCCTAGGCACTGGCACAGCACAGTGCACACTGTGGGTTGGGGTTGGGGTTGGGGCTGAGGCAGGTGCTGTAAAAGGCATCAAATGCCACAGACATGACTGGGGTGGGGAGGAGCAGGTAGAGCTGAGCTGTCTGGGCCAGCCCGACCCAGTGTGACAACCTACAGTGCGACTCAACCAGCAGTTAATATCGGTTATTGGATCAGTATCAGGTGATATGGCTGGTTAATAATCGTTTATTGGTATCGGCCAAGAAAATCTTTATTGGTGCACCCCTAATATCTGCACATTTCGTTTGCCGTGGTATAATTGATCTTCTAGATCAGGATGAGGTTTGCTTACTAAAACTCATGGCAGTTGCAAATGAAACAGAATAAATACTACACAAGTCCAGCACAACAAACACCCTGGTTTAGCAGACACCACATGGCCCTAGTGTCGGTGACAGCAGTGGCCTCAGAATCCAGCACAAAATATGCAAGCAGAACTTACATGTTCTTAAAGTCCAACCTCTCTCTATTCTCCGCCCAATCTGAAATTATCTTGTGTAATGGCAATTATCTGTTTCAACTGAACATCCTGGAGAAAGATCCTGTTTCTTGACACCCTTGCAATGCCAGCAGTTACACTTGTGCAAAATGAGCATGCTCCAGTTTGGTATTTTCTTTTACATTCACACTATAGTGCCTAACAATGTTCCTAGCAAGGAAGACTCAGATCCAATATATCAAATCTGGGCATCTATAACAAAAGTCAGTCGAGGGATCTGCTTCAATTAGTTTTAAGGATACAGGGAGTCTTCAGGAGGCATGTTCACTTCACCATAATAAATGTATCTCAGCATAGACTCAAATGCTTGTTTACTGGGAACCATTTCACCTATAGAAATATTTACTTGTCCATCTTCTGGCATGAAAGAACGGAACATAGCTTCAAAGTAACTGGGAAAAAAAATATGACTCATGTAGTATACAAGTGTTAGAGATACAATTCTACAGACCATGTTTAACCAACCCTACTCAAATGTAGCTACAAGGCACTGCGACTTCTATACAAGTTACTTAAAACCAGGCACCAGCTGGAGCATGATAAAGCTGCCTCAAAGGTGCACTCTCCAGCCAAGAGATGACAGCGAAGGCTGCTCTTTTACTTCCTCTACCCTACAACAGAGAAGCTGTCTCCAGCTTATGCTACCATGGGCATCAGCAGGAGGTAGTAGTGGCAGAGGCAGCCCTTGGCTGTCCACAGGGGCAACAGCGCATGCTCTCCTCACTCCCACTATCCTCACAGGCAGGCAGAGGCTGTGCTCAACAGCCTCCAAAAGCTCCCAGCAGAGGAGAGGACAGGCTGCCTTTGACAGCCACTGCTCCAGGCACAGGTCCCAGTCCTACAGCAGTGCCTATCAAAGACAGCTCCCTGTGGTGATGAGAGCTGTTCTTGTTGGCACCACTGTTGTGAAAGCACCAGCAACAGCTTGTGCATTTGCTGCAGCAGCTGATCCTGTCGCCAACAGCATCACAGCTGTAC